CGGAGATGAAGGGGCTACAACTTTTATCGATTTCCAAAACTTCCCGCCAGAAAACCCAGTAACCTCTTTCTCCAATATTTTAATATAAAACTCAACTTTTCAGTCCTTTTCAGCCCAACTAGTGTGTACCCCGTGCCAAGCACGGCCCCGCCTCTTTTCTATAATTCGTTAATGTTGTTTGATCTCAATTTTATTTTTATACAAACTTATTTCTATAGCTAGCAACTATGAAGAACTTCAAATGAGTTGCATTTGGAAAATAGATGCCTAATAATATTGTATGGTGCAAATATAACAATACTACTCGAACAACTCACACATTATGGCCTAATAAAACAATATAGCAACAAAACTCTACATTCAATATAACATATATTCATGAGTTAGTCACTTGAGTGACAACCAATCATGAATTTTTACGAAGGAGTTATCTCTTGATGCATATTTTAGTTCATCATACAAAATAATGCAAACTATCCTCTTAACTATATCGTGTCTCAAAGATAAACATTATAATATCGTATATTTATCATTAAGGGGATAAAAGAAACAAAGACAGTAAAAATGAAGATAAATAAGACCAAAACCTGAAATAGAACAATTGCAGGCTTAAAATGGGGTCTTGGATTATTTAGGAGTGGAAATTTCCTACTCCGAAATCTTCTTAACGACCTTCTCCATCACCTGAAAACCATAGAAGTTCCTTATCACTGATTCTAAGAGAAAAATTATAAAATATGAAACTGACATGTCCAAAAAAATATTATCATATATTAAAATTCACTACTATAAATCATCAACTAAGTATAATAATCTCTTTATTAATGTGTCTTTTCAAAGATTTGTTCTTAATGTTAAAGAGAGATAAATAGAAAATGAACAAATTAATAGTTCATTCTCTTTGATTCTTAATGTTAAAGAGAAATAAATAAGAAATCTTCAGATCTGAGCACATATCAATAGTTTATTACTTTAGAGGAAATATTCAGATCTGAGCACATCAGATCTGAGCACATATCAATAGTTTATTACTTTAGAGGAAATATTCAGATCTGAGCACATATTAATAGTTCATTCTCTCGCCATATCAATAGTTTATTACTTTAGAGGAAATATTCAGATCTGAGCACATATTAATAGTTCATTCTCTCGCCGACTGTGGCAGAAGAAATCTTCATTTTCTCATCAATAAAAGCCCTCCAAAATTTCTAAAAATGATCATTAACTGGCATTGATGAAATTTAGAAACTTTAGTTTTTATCTTCATGGTTATACCATCCCTAGTCATCATTAACCAAATTTCTAAAGATCAAATAACTACTCAAAACTAAAACCGAAATAGCACAATAAATGTCAATCTTTTAGTAAGTCTTTATATTTACAATAAGTGGTCTTGCTATTATCTATTTATTCATTTGTTATTTTTCTTGTTGTTCTCCAAAAGAAAGTAAGTCTTTATATTTACAAATTCTCTTTTAAGTTGAAATTCCTATGCAATTTATCAAAATTTTCATTACAACTTCTACCCATATATAAATATACATTGTTAAGTGAGCTAGGGCTTCACATATCCTTTGGATCATCAACCAACGGTTGAGATTTGTTCCGTGACCACATATAAATATCTTTCTCACCTCTCATAACCCTAGCTCTGGCAATTGGCAGCCGAACTCCCCAACCCAAGTCCCCATCGACGACCTGTGCTCCTCCTAGCCGCGACGACGCCCTCCTCCCGCTCCGACGACGTTCCCGTCCCGCTCCGGCGACGCCCTCCTCCCTCCCTACGACGACGTTCTCCCCCCTCTCCGACGAAGCTGTTGTCCCTCCCAGAGACGACGCCCACTTCCATCGATCTCTGTAGATCTGCCGTGATTCTTTGAATTTTCTCACTGGAAAGGTAAAAAAACCCATTTGCAATTAATTTGTGTACTTTTTGAGTCTGCATGTCCATATTAATTTGTGATTCACTGTCTTCCTTGAGGGATTTCGTCGGATTGTTCTTGATTTGTTGGATTTCGGCAATTACAGGTATAATTTCTCCATGATTCTTTGATTTTTAGTTTAGATCTGCCGTGATTATTTGATTTTTCTCACTGGTAAGGTAAAAAACCCTTTTGCAATTAATTTGTGTACTTTTTTTAGTCTGCATGTCCATATTAATTTGTGATTCACTGCCTTCCTTGAGGAATTTCATCGGATTTTGCTTGATTTGTTGGATTTCGGCAATTATAGGTATAATTTCCATATTAATTTATTGTTGGATAGAAAACAATTATAGGTATTAATTTGTTTCATTTTTGTGAATACGTCAGCGTTTTAAGTTTTTAACATGGAAAAGTTGTTGTTTTCTATTAGATACTGGGGAGTCTAATTTATGTTATCTAGTTATTTATTCAGTGTGTCTGACTGATTTACAAAAAAGGAATTGGTTACTGCAGTAAGATGTGAATAAATGAAATAAGATATAGTTATCTGGTCAATTAAATTTGGCTTGATATTTGTTCAGTTTTCTTCTGTAACTCCAATTTAACTGGGAAGAAGTGATTGTATCTTCTGTCTATTTAACTGACTTATGCTTAGGTTTTAAATTTGCATTTATGGAGTTCCTTTTCTAAAACAATGAATTGTAACAGTAAAAAGCTTTGAATGTTTTTTTAAGTCTAAAGTATAAATTAATCTGTAAATAGAAATGTTCTTAATTTTTTGATATCCTAATAAGCTATATACATTAATGCAAAGGGTAATTTATTCCCACAAATACAGTTAAATGAAATAGTCTACATGTGAATAAATTACGGCACATAGTAAAATGAATTAAGCAGATAATTAAACTTAAGTTTTAAGCATTCTATATTTTCTCATGAAGTTTATTCTTTGATCCTAGTATTTGTATAAAGGAATACTATATTTTCTCATGAAGTTTATTCTTTGATCCTAGTATTTGTATAAAGGAATAGATATACCGCTGTCAAAAAACAAATACATATGCATTTATTCTTTGATCCTAGTATTTGTATAAAGGAATAGATATACCGCTGTCAAAAAACAAATACATATGCACTTTAGTATACAATGACAAATTAAAATGACAAATAAAAAACTTATGCTATATTTTGTCATGAAGTTTATGAGTTTAATGTTATAAGTCGATGTTTTCCCTCTCTTAAAATCCTATTGACTGGATGCACTAATTTGGTGAAATCTGTAAATATAATTGGGGATATATATTGCCTATAAGTTGCTCATTTAAATTGCTTGCTTAAGATGAGTGTTGTTAGTCCAATTTGAAGTTTTAACTAACTCTCTTTTGTGGATTTTTCTTCATACTAAAGGCAAGGAACTGCTTGAGTAAATTTGAGGCAGTATAGATCTTTCTTCTTAACTGCTGCTCAAATGGCTATAAGAGGTGCGAACTTTGCAAGAAAATTATCGCAAGGAAAGAATTGCATGCATAAGTTAAAATGAAAGCTTGATCAGGTTAAAATATATTTTGAGGCAAAAATTACCTTTAAGTGATCAACGCTGGTAAGTTTTTAATTAGTGTATTTTAATTACTTTGTGTTGTTTCATTGTCATAATCTTGGGACATAGTTAATTTTTGAAAGGCGTATCTTAGAGTGAAAATACTTATATTGATTTATCTTTATAGTCTTTACATCGTTTCAACAGCTCTATAGTATATACCGCTGTCAAAAAACAAATACATGTGCATTTTAGTATACAATGACAAATTAAAATGATAAATAAAAAACTTATGCTATTATCATTAAGTTTCTTAAAATGATAAATAAAAAACTTATGCTATTATCATTAAGTTTCTTTGTTCTAGTGCATCCACCATTTAGCGTGACTGGGTAGCATGAATATTATGCTATTATCATTAAGTTTCTTTGTTCTAGTGCATCCACCATTTAGCGTGACTGGGTAGCATGAATATTTTGGATGTACATTCTTAATTTGTTTTATGTTTTGAGGAAAGGAAAATATCAGTTATAACTACAAATTAAAAGGCATTATTGATTCTTGTTGCTAATTGTTATTGTTGGCTTTTTGTGCTTACATTGATGTATTGTTTGTTGGCTTCTTGTGGTATATAATGGTCGGTTTGAGCTTAATGACAGATGGCTTTCTTAATGACAGATGGCTTTCTTTGGTACTCAATTTTGGTATGCGTTCTTTAAATCTATGTTTTTTTAGGTGGGCAGTGATGATGATAACAAACTGAGAATGCATCCTATTTTAATTAATTATGTAATGTTTAGGCGAGGCAATTATGTGTGGAATGCAAGCTACATTGATATTACAATGTTTGGCTGATGTAATCCCTCATAATAGCAGCCTACATTGCACCATAGTTTTATAGGAGAGGCAATCTTTTATGACCAATCAATTTTTTTCCTGAGCCCTAGTAAGTCCTCATAGATTTTGGTGATGAATTCGAGCTTGTTTAGCTCTAATTTTAGTAGGAATTGGTGCTATTTTGTAGCTTATATAATTGACATACATAGTTGAAAGAGCTGGTTTTATCATGTAGCTTTTATAATTGAAAGAGCTTATTTTATCATGTAGTCAGCAACAATATCTTTATAATTTGAATAAATTGATAGATTTGTATTACCTGTGAAGTTCCTAGAGCATCGAAATATACAACATCATAAATTGTTGCTTCCGAAGCCTTCATAAGTCGTCTCACTGTGAGTATTCCTACATGTATGATGAAAAAGTTATTATCAGTAGTATAGATGGTTCATAATTTATTAATTCAAATGTTATGTTTCACAAATTATGTTTTAAGCACTATTTTCTCATGAAGTTTATGAGTTTAATGTTATAAGTTGTTGTTTTTCCTCTCTTAGAATCCTATTGAATCTATGCACTAAATTGGTGAAATCTGTAAATAAAATTGGGCATATATATAAATAGCCTATAAGTTGCTCAATGAAATCATACCTGGTTAAGATGCGCATTGTTAGTCCAATTTTGAAGTCTTAACTCTCTTTTGTGTCTTTTCTTCATACCAAACGCAGGGAACTGCTTGAGTAAATGTTGAGAGGGTACTTTCTCTACGTAGACATACGAAAAAAGGTTGCATAAACATGGAAATTGCTATAATGTTATCTGCACATAAACACATGACCATGCTCTATGTTCAACTACCATTCATTCATGCATGTGAGTTCTTAAACATAGTAAAGTACTTGCTCCAAAATAACCTTAAAGTTAGACTAATACATATAACCACACCGAGTGTGTCAAAGCAATTTTCATATAGAAAGTCACTATGGTATTAAGCTTTTCTGAACTGGATCTGAAGACCAAAATAAATTCATCAGGTTTGTGCACAAAAACTTGGTAGCAACTCCAATAAAAATTCAGTTTCAGGAGATAGTGCAAGAATATAACTATGGTGCAGGAATATATAAGAGGTGCGAACTTTGCAAGAAAATTATCGCAAGGAAAGAATTGCATGCATAAGTTAAAATGAAAGCTTGATCAGGTTGAAATATATTTTGAGGCAAAAATTACCTTTAAGTGATCAACGCTGGTAAGTTTTTAATTAGTGTATTTTAATTACTTTGTGTTGTTTCATTCTCATAATCTTGGGACATAGTTAATTTTTGAAAGGTGTATCTTAGAGTGAAAATACTTATATTGATTTATCTTTATAGTCTTTACATCGTTTCAACAGCTCTATTGTATATACCGCTGTCAAAAAACAAATACATGTGCATTTTAGTATACAATGACAAATTAAAATGATTAATAAAAAACTTATGCTATTATCATTAAGTTTCTTTGTTCTAGTGCATCCACCATTTAGCGTGACTGGTAGCATGAATAGCTTGGATGTACATTCTTAATTTGTTTTATGTTTTGAGGAAAGAAAAATATCAGTCATAACTACAAATTAAAAGGCTTTATTGATTCTTGTTGCTAATTGTTATTGTTGGCTTTTTGTGCTTACATTAAGGTATTGTTTGTTGGCTGCTTGTGGTATATAATGGTCGGTTTGAGCTTAATGACAGATAGCTTTCTTTGGTACTCAATTCTGGTATGCGTTCTTTTGGTTTATGTTTTTTAGGTGGGCAGTGATGATGATAACAAACTGAGAATGCATCCTATTTTAATTAATTATGTAATGTTTAGGCGAGGCAATTATGTGTGGAATGCAAGCTACATTGATATTACAATGTTTGGGTGATGTAATCCCTCATAATAGCAGCCTACATTGCATCATAGTTTTATAGGAGAGGCAATCTTTTATGACCAGACTATTTTTTTCCTGAGCCCTAGTAAGTCCTCATAGATTTTGGTGATGAATTCGAGCTTGTTTAGCTCTATTTTTCATATAACCACACCGAGTGTGTCAAAGCGATTTTCATATAGAAAGTCACTATGGTATTAAGCTTTTCTGAACTGGATCTGAAGACCAAAATAAAGTCATCAGGCTTGTGCACAAAAACTTGGTAGCAACTCCAATAAAAATTCAGTTTCAGGAGATAGTGCAAGAATATAACTATGGTGCAGGAATATATAATTGACATTAATTATATCCTTTTTAAGATATGAGATACTGCAAGAATATAACAACTCAGTTTCAGGAGATTGACATATATGACATGTATCTTTCTTGATACATCAAATCTCAGCTTCCTCCTTGTAGATCTCTGCCGTTTTTTTGGGCGCGCGTTCGTCTCTGTGTAAGTAATTGGTTCTCTAACATTTGTGCTAATTTGTTGTGGTACTTTCCATAATTGATCTAATTGGCAACACAAATTTATATATTCTCAGTTGATCTATCTATTATTGAATTCATTCATTAGGAATATGAGCACATGCGAGTATATAGTTTTACGTTTTTGAAAAAAAAAATATAACTACCACCATAATCAGAACATAATGTATAATCATAATACTTGCTTAACATTGGTTCATAGGTATTAAACTTTGATAAGTTCGATAACTTCAAATTTTAGGTTTGTACCTGTGAATCACCTTCAATAGCTTCGATAAGTTTTGTAACAGTGTAGTTCTCATTGCCTGTTTCATCATTATAAAAATAAATCTATGAAAAATACATGTAAAGCTTTCTTTAAATTTGTAGGATATTATTGTGATATATTAGATAAATGTATTAGATCATTAATCAAACAAAAGAATTGCTTACCTTCTTTGAAGTTATACTTTGTTAGCTTAACCTGAACTTTTAGTCTTCCCAATAATTGATTTGATAATCTCTGGGAATATCTCCCTTCCATTGTTCTGCACAAAAATCAGGCATTAGTTACGCAATTCTTAATACATTTATATTCTAATGTGAAGCAGATTGATTATTAAGCACTTCTTAATACATTTATCTTCTAATGCACAAAATCTCTGGGAATATCTCCCTTTCATTGTTCCTCCATCAGTGTTAGTTACATGCAAAAATTAAGTACCTTTTTCAGTGTTTTTTTTCAGATCATATGCAGAAATCTTGATCAACTTTTCAGCTAGGTAAGTTCTCTGCTATTTCTTCTAAGTTTTTATTTCTCTTCTTCTTCTTCGTCTTTTTTCTTTCTGCTGCTTATTTTTTTTATGCCATCCTGTTGTTTTGTATTGCTTCTGGCCGCTGCTCTCTTCTTGGTTTCCTGGAGCATCGACATATACAACTTCATAAATTGTTGCTTCCGAATCCTTTATTATCTCTGATTGAGTATTGGAGAAATTCACAGACGAAGTCACCAACTGTAAGTTGTTCTCACTGTGAGTATTCCTACATGTATGATGAAAAAGTTATTATCAATAGTGTAGATAGTTCATAATTTAGTAATTCAAATGTTATGTTTCACAATAATGTATTGTGTAACCTTCTGACCTTTGTAGTAATTTTTGAACTCTTGCTTCATCAATATTGAACATATAGCCAAATAAGTAATCAAATCGTTGAAGTTGTCAATATTTATTAATAATTCTAAAATACTTTGAAAATGGAAGAATTTCCTAGCTTGTGTCATTGTATTTCTTTTACTTATTGTCGTGAAATATGTCAATGATTATGGAGATATGCAATCCCTCATTACCCTTCGCATAACTATATTTTATCGATGCTACTTGAAGTTTAACTTTCTTTTCAATTATACCGAGGATAAAATCAGAGAAAAGCTATGTTCCATTTGCATAAACCATGTAAATACTCTTATTAGATACCTTTTAGTTAATAATTTTAACTGCCTTTTTAGTGATTTTTGTCTATTAAAGTAGTGTTCAGACTACCAACTTCTTCGTTGAAGAGTAGTAACATAGTAACTGTTGAACTATATTTCCCTTTATAGCTTTGCACCTGATTTATGTAATTATATACTATGGAAGATGCATATGAATGTGTACCTGATTTGAGCCATTACTTCCATATTACATGATTTGCACCATACTTTTTCTTTGCACAATCTCGACATGCAACATAATGCCCATCTAGTTCCTTGACATTTTAGTATGTTTGATTTTCTCTTGACAGTCAGTGATCTATGAAGTTGAATATCAAATTATTAGTATGACTGAATATGTATTATTGTTCAACCAAAATGATGTACGAAGAGTAATCATAATGTTAAAATAAATATATGTATTTTTCTTGTGTGCAAGCAGGTTGAAAAGCATGAGCTTCTTGAAATGAGACGGGTTGCTGCCTATATAGGATAGGAGAAAACAAAGCAAAGGAAATTAACTCAAGGTAACTAACTCTTATCATTAACATGACAATATATAAAGAGGGATGATTACTTCAGGATTTAGAAGCTAACAAAATAAGAGAACAATGAAAAGTTACAATTGCAAATGATGGATAAACCAATCATTACAAATGAGTACCTCCACCCTTGTTTGATTTGCTTCCAGGTCTCTTTCAAGCACGGCCCTCGCCACAAAAAAGAAAAAAAAACTTAAACTTCCAGATTGCATGCAGGAAAATTCTTGTGACATGACTACATTCTCTTTAAATTGGTGAAATCAGTAAATAAAATTGGGGATACATAAATTAAATTTATATATCGTTTAAAACTGATGATGATAACAAACTCTGATCACATTTCAGTTGCTTGCTTATCTTTTGGTTTATGTTTTTTCAGATGGGCAGTGATGATGATAACAAACTGATGGGGTTCAAAAGCAAGTATGCAATATTAAAAAATTAAATTTATAGAACGTTAAAAACTAATACCTGTTTGAAAATTTCTTTGTATCAGATCTGAGTTTAGTGTTCAAAGCTGCTTTTTTCAACTTCATTTTCCTCTCAAGGGCTGCAGCTGCTGTTATTGGCTTCCTTTCCTTTCCTCTCAAGGGCTAGGTAAGTTCTCTGCTATTTCTTCCAACTTTTTCTCTCTTCTTCTTCGTCTTTTTTCTTGCTGATGCTTTCTTTTTTTTATGCCATCGTGTTGGCTGCTGCTCTCTCCTTGGTTTCCTTTCTTCGTGCCTTTTTTTTGAGTTGAATGGAGTCCTGGTTGGCTGCTGCTCTGATTTTGCATACTGGCGGCAACAGTAATTTATCCTGATGTAGTGAGGGTTGTTTTATTGAGTGAAGTTTGAATGTAAACCTATTATTATTATGAATTTGGAGGGAGAATAGAATATTTCATCAGCTTAGATGTATTTGAATTTTGAATGTTTAAATTTTGAAGTCCAGCCGCTCATTTGTCATGTGTGAGCTGTGTTCTGCTACAGTTATACTCTACTGTTCAATTTACTGTTTGATGAACAGTGATTCTCTGATTCTCCTTTTTGTATAAAGGAGTAGATTATGCTTAAGTAGCTCAGAATTAGGTACTCCTAAAAATATGATGTGGCAGATGTTTTAAGAAAGTGTTTCTATATTTCATTGGGAGAACCAAACACAAATTTGGGAATCCAGTTTGAGCTACTTTCCTTATTTTCTGTCATTGACGCGTTTTGTAGCTGTCAGATACTTTCCAAGTTTTAAGAAAGTGTTTCTATATTGGATCAAAAGTTTGACTTGGAGGAGTTCTCACTTGATTATCGACCTGTCTACCTGACCGAAGTGAATGGATTACATTCACTTGAGCTTCATAGGATGAACTGCATCCTATGTCTTTAGGGTTGACCACGGGTTAACTCAGAATTTTTTTTTCTTTCTTTCACTCACGGCACTAGCTAGTTGACCAAGTTGGGATTCTAATCTAGCTATAGCTTGAATGTTGGAGTTGAGTATTTGTCCAATTGATTGCATGAAGGAATTCAGAGTGCTAGACGTTTGAGTCAACATATTCGTGGTTTGAGTGGATGCATTAATTATGGTTTCCAAACATCTTTCCAAGACATTGAGACGCTTATATTGATCTGGATTATGAGGAGTCTGAATTACAGCTTGATGAAGAGGAGACTGATTTTGATACGGTAGATTGGGTTGTTGAAATTGTGGATGAGAATTGAAAGGAACTGTGTTTCCCCTAGGAAAATGTTGAGTCGAAGCGGGAATGAAGTTTTGAGTTCCGGAAGAATTTTCTTGATTCCATGCAAAGTTGGAATGATTTCTCCAACCTGGATTGTAGGTTGGAAAAAATAGATCATTTCTAGGATGCTGAAATGCAACGTTCATCTGTTCTAATGCATTATTGTTTCCTAAGAGAGGGCATTCCTCTGAAACGTGGTTAGGAGACTGACAATTATGACATCCTGGGATAGAAACATGATTGATTTGAGTTGGAGCTCGTTCCTTAATTTCTAAGGCTTCTAACCTCCGTAGAATCATTGCCATCTTCGCTTCAGAAGCAATGTTTGACTCCAAGGAAAGACCACTAGACTTAGAATGAGGAACTGATTCGCTTCAGAAGCAATGTTTGACTCCAAGGAAAGACCACTAGACTTAGAATGAGGAACTGATGAAACCATGTCATCACAGTGTTCCCATTGCATTGTTTTCTCGGATAGACTCTCTAGAAATAACTGATGAAACCATGTCATCACAGTGTTCCCATTGCATTGTTTTCTCGGATAGACTCTCTAGAAATTCTCAAGCTTCGTCAGCATTTTTTCTCATGAAATCCCCGTGGCACATTGATTCTAAGGAAGTTTTTGCAGAATAATCTAATCCCTCATAAATTATTTGGCACAATCGCCATTTTTCTAAACCGTGATGAGGATATTGGATGAGAAGATCTTTAAATCGGTCAAAATACTTCTAAAAAGGTTCTCCCAGGACAACTTTAAAATTCATGATGCTGTTTCTTAGCTTCACCGTTTTATGGATAGGAAAAAATTTCTTAAGAAAAACGGTGATAAATTCCTCCCAAGTAGTGATGGAATTTACAGGTAAGTTATACAACTATTTTTTTACTTTGTTTTTCAGAGAAAATGGAATAAATCTGAGTTTAATCGCATCTTCTATTAATTCTCTCATTTTAATCATAATACACACTTCCTCAAATTCCGAGATAAAAATATATGCATCTTCTGTTTCATTTCCAAGGAATTTGGGAAGCATGTTTATGTAATGCGGTCTAAGCTCAAAATTTATTCTATTTGTTTCGGGGATCCTAATGCAAGAGGGGATTGCATTCCTAATGTGATAGCACATATTTTGAAGAACGGGTGGATTAGGATACGCCATTTCTATGATTAGTTCAAAGCGAATTAATCGATGTGTATTATCCCTAATCCACGGTTGCATACACCAAAATTATTTCTTTTTATACTTTTTTTTTATAAAAGTTAGTTTTCTTAATGAGAGAATGGAAAAAGAGTAAAATCCTAACTAAAACAAATCAAAATCAATCACTTTTCAATCACTCTAACTCTAGGGTTAAGCCTAACTCAACTAGACTAGTTCCTAACCAAAAATTCCTAAAGTGAAAAGATTAAAGTTTTACCCGGGTAGTTAGCCAGGTAAGGATAATACTAGAGGGTGATCAGAGATCAATTAAGTACCTCGTTCCTTGCGGAGCGCTTTACGCAATCCCTAAACATTACCTTAGACACCAACTAATCCAAGAAAACTTAAACCAGTTCACTTAAGGATTCTTTGTTCCATATTGAGCTCGAATCCTTAGGGCCAACGTCTAATGAGTTTTATTAGGCTTGGGTGGTGTAGTGAGGAATTAGTGATTTTTAGGCTAAGGGAAGGGTGATGAAATCTCTCACATTATCTTGAATATTAGGTTTTGCCCTTAAAAATATTTTTATGTGTGTGCCAAATCAAGATGCTCAAATCACTTGGTGAATTCCTACTAACAATATGAAATGCAACCCTATAAATTAAAAGCAACTAAAAAGGATGGAAAAGAAAAAAAATCTTTTTTAATTAGGGTTAACAACCAAACAAATGAGAAGGGGGAAATTGTTTGAATTTATTATCTTATTAGTAAATGTCAAAGTGGAGGGTGGATTTTATTATGGTCAATAAAAATAAAATCTTTTTTTAAGTCCTAATTGTCTCTAATTGTGAATAAGTAGCTAAAGGGTGGAATTAAAAATTCTAGAAAGAAGAGTTACCTACAAGCAAATCTTCAAATCCTATTTCTCCAATCCGCGATCTTCAAGCTCCAAGCGTTTCCTTCACAATAAACACACAAGTTAAAGAACCAAAATAATTAAAACCTACTTAAGCACCTTCCCCGGCAACGGCGCCAAAAACTTGATGCGACATAAACATGTACCAAAAAAAATATTGAAAGTGCACAACCGTGTCAAGTTATAGTATAAAGATATCGATCCCACGAGGAAGGTGTTTTGTATGAGAAAATATAAAATCGGTTCTTATGTTGTATATGTGACAAATAGGAGTGATGAGTGAATGTGATTGTGAAGAGATTAAGAATGTGATAGTGTGTAAATAGGCATAAAATGTAAGTGAGAGTGGACGTGACAATGAATGAATGATTTTCACAAGAAGAGATGAATAAAATCAAGAATCAAAAAGAAAAATCAAGAATAAAAATAAAATTCAAGAAAGTAAAGTCGGCGGATTCAATTAAAGATATAGGTAATCTAGAATTGAATCCACTTCTTAAAAATTGGTGATTCCCTAGAGGGTTCTAGCCTAAAGGCGAATCAAAGAAAATAAAAATAAACAAAAAGAAAAACTAAACCCAAGAGGGTTCTAGCCTCAAGGTGAATAGTGCAAGAAATTAAAATCTAACTACAAAATAATTTATAAGAATTAAATACAAGAAAATAAATCTACTCTATAAGCATGAAATAAATCTAAGGCAAGAGGGTTCTAGTCTCTTGGCTATTTAAACAAGAAAATAAAATCTAATTACAAGCATGAAAATAAATCTAAACTAATAAGAAATAAAAGAGAAATAAGAAAAACAAACCTTCAAATTAATCTCCATTTTCATCATCCAACAAAGAGAAGAAAAGAAAATTTTAAAGTGGTGAAATTTTTTTTTATTAATTGTAACAAAAAGTTATAAATTTGGAAGGTCTTCTCAATTAAGAGTAGCCCTCCTCTCCAAAAGGAGTTATAAAAATTTTCACACCCTTAACCCTCACTCTCTATCCCTATTTATAATAAACAATAATGAATGAGAGCCATTGGATGAAGACTTAAGTCCTAAGGAATCATTTTTAGCCTTTGAGCTTTTGGGCTTGGATTTTTGGGCCTTTTGCTTGTTGATTTTCCATTGAGCTTCTTGATTTTCCTTTGAGCTTTGCTTCATTTCTTCATGATTCATTCTTCATTGTTTTGGTTCTGGGCTTTTGCTTCATGGGCTTCTGGCTTGATTTTTGGATTGTTTATAATGCATACAAGAGGTAAGGCTTTGCTTCATGAGCTTTGGCGTTTTGGGCTTCATTAATTCATAGCTTGATTCTTTTGCTTTGGGCTTTTGAATAAATTTTCAATTTGATTTTCCAATGGGCTTCTTAATTTTATTTTTGCTTCATTTCTTTATTAAATCAAGGGCTTTTGATGAGAGATGAGATTTTTTGGAATTTATTCTTCATTAACTTGTAATTAAAGATAAAAATAATTATTAGTGATATATTTATTTATAAAAAATAGATAATGAGGATATAAAAATTGTAATAAAATGTAATTATCAAGGAGCTATGAGTAGGCAAGCACTTTGCCAAGGGAGCAGGCAGAATGCATTGCATTGAAGGACTATTTGCTCAACGACCTATTCACCTTAAACCCTCTATGGCTCCTACCTTCATACTTAATAACATCGGCTATCATACTTTCGTAAGAGGTTGCATCCTCCTTTTGACTGATTCAATGTAATCCTAGGGTTATACTATTATTTTAATTATTAGTAATGTTTGGCTTAACTATGTGTTTAGTCCTTGTGCATGTTTTTTATAACCCTAAGCATGACTATCATACATCAGACCTCTTTCTACAGTTATGTCGAGACGAGAGCATAGAGAGGCACTTCACGGTTAGTCATACATTGCAGCAGAATGAAGGTGACAGAAAGGTTGAATCGGTTTTTACTGGAGAAGATCTGATACTTATTGTCACGGAGTGGTTTAGAGAAGATCTTTTGGGCTGGAATACTTACATATGCGAGCCACCTCATTAATAGGCTGCCTTCATCTGCGATTGAGTGGAAAACCCTATGAAGATGTGGTCGGACAGCCAACACAGGACTATGATTATATCAAGGTATTTGGGTGTCATGTATTTTATCATGTGAGAACAGATAAATTAGAACCTCG